ACGTGTACATATACATATATCGAGTCGTAGAGGAGTCCGATAAGCAATAACCGCTTAGCATCGCGTTAATATCGACACCTCGTACGGCGAAGAAAGATCGGCAAATATGATAGAAATGAATAGATGAACCAAGGTAATGCCGCCCAAAGAGCAAGCGATCCGATTTTCTTCTTAGTCAATCTGATAGATTGGATGTGATCGCGACGAAGCAACGTGACGAAAGTCGCTACAACCTTTTATTCTAGGAAATACGCGTCACGGATGCGCTTACGATCGTTACCACGTTTACAAGTCTAGTCATTATCGAAAGCTGAAACGAGTTTATCGGTCGCGCGTGTTAGCAGACTTTGCTCAAATCTAGATTACGAATCGTTGTATGTTTTTCTAGCTACGTTACGTTGCAAGGATGTACGATGGATTCTGTGAATTGTATTTATGAATTTCCGAAATACATTATTATTCTATGTCGTAAGGCTAAAACAGTAACGACAATCGCAACAACTCCCTTTTCTCTCCGACGCGACACTTTTTAACGTATAGTACAATATATGTATGTATATCTGTACGTGTGTTTATTATTATTCGTCGGCGCGCATGCGCACGTACAACGCGCATGCGCGTGCACACGCGCACGTCTCTTCGCGTCTAACGTCTTTCAGTTTTATGTAGAATTACGCGTTCAATTGAGAAAAATTCTCGGGAAAAGTCTCACGTCTCTTTTTTCTTCGAGTCTCCTCCTATTATAGTGGCGAAAAGAGCTCGCGTCTTTTCTTCCTTTCCTATCGCTTCTGTCCAATCTTTCTTATTTCTCGCAAACAACGAAACGTTTAATTTGTTCGTTATGATTTGTCCAGATTTCGTGGAACGCAGAGATTCTCCGACAGCTGCTAATTCTTCCACGATTAAAATCTTCTGATTGATACGCGCCCATTGCCACATTTTATCCAAGCTTCTAGAGCCATGGGTACTGCGAGCCAATCGAGCCCAGTATCCTTTTAATTTCTTGCCGAGCTTTTCCCTGCTCTTCTCACCGACGTATTTACTGTCCATAAAAGCGTCTACGATACGACTTCCTTTCGGATCTTCAAACATGCGCACCAGTTCCTCTGCGTCTGTTTCCAACAAGGAATTAACCACTTTTATCGGTTTGTTAAAGTTAAGAATAGCTTGTACTATCAAACTTCCGTGCAAGCTAATCAAACTCTTCGAATCGTTCTCTTTCCGTTCACTTTCCAACTGCTGGACCGTTTTCAGGCAAGCTATACACGCCACGACTTGATGCTGTTGCTCCTTCTCCTTTACCTCGCAACCAAGAGCTTTCAAAAGTTCGGTTACGAATGCCCCCTGTTTTATCTGCAACTTTAAGCTCGCGTTCGCCACGCTGGCTAAAACACCGGTATAACCGCTCTCGAGAATTTCTGGGAAATACGTGGATACTTGGTCGAATATTCGTTCAAAGTCTTCTTTTACGGAACAGTGATCCAATAAACGTTGCACGCTAAAGTTCGTACTTCGCGTCACCGACAGTTGCTTGAAACGATGCGAAAAGTATCCCTCGTAAATTTTACAGAGGGATTTTTCATCAGCTACAGCCAAACAAACCTCCAGCAGTCTGATAGAAGATTCTGCGTCGAAGATGCTCGACAGCTGTTGCTCTTTCCCAGGTTTGAAACATTCGTTTGTAATTTTTTTTACGTACGCCTCCACCATTTCCGGGAAGACATCCTTCAAAGAGTACAAAGCGCTTTGCAACAATCCAGATGTAAGCTCGTCTTGGCCAAACTCGACAAATCGAGGCCACTTGTACAGTCTGTTGCACGTTGCAAACAACAAATCTTTAAAGTCTCCTGCGACCGGCCGCCTTTTGCCGAAAGCCAGCTTGGTTTTATCGTTTCTGTTAGGTTTATCTATCAAACCGCCGAGACACTCGATCACTGTTCTCAAAAGATGATTCGCGTACGTGTCGAATACAAATTCCTCTATATTGTTGATAAAGTATTTGCTCAATTTCAACACGATACCGTTGTACGAGCTTACTTCTGATTCCTTAACCTCTACGTTCGCATCTACGCTTTGTTCCGCCTTCGATTCCGGAGGTGGACCTCTGTTTGCCCTATCCGCGCAAACTACCACGATCTTTTGCAAAACGTGACTAGCAAATCTGTCGCTACTGAGCGGTCGTAACGAAGGTCCAAAAGCGTCGACTAACCTCTGAATCGTTTCTAAATTCGCGTACGTTAACAGCGAATCCAATATCCTGGAGCCAACCTGGTTTCGGGCGTACTCGATTTCACGGCCAGTGGTTTCCACGTACACGTTATTCACGAATAACAACTTTTCCTCGGCAGTGGGGAAATCGGTTTTCATCAATTCCAGGATACGCACCATGTACTGATAAGTGTCCGAATCTACGTCGGATCCGTGATATCTTCGTCGTGCAAGTTTCTTCGCCATCTGAATGTGAGATCGTTTCTTCTTTCTTTTCTTACCCCTTTCGTCGTTTTCGTGCTCGTTGGACATTGTGCAGGATAATTTTTCGACTTTACACCGAAGTTAATCGTACATAACCTCGTTACCCGCGTCGGTACACGTGACAAACAGACGACAAGTGGTGCCATCTATGGTTAGATGTGAAAATGGCGAATCAACGACGGGTACGACATCTCGTCTTCTCCTGATTAGCAGAATTAAAAATGTTTCTTAATTAATTTATCGTTGAGAGTAATAAAATGTCCAAGTAGAACGACGTCATTTTTCCGTATCTTTCGTTCATTCCTTTATTCTTTTACACACTCGAATTAAACTACATAAATCTTTGTAAGTCGTACCGTAATTCGAGGATTCGAATGGTCTGGTTGATCGATCGGTGCGTCGTCTGTTCGTGCATTTCAACGAGAAAGAAAATCTCTGCAGTGGACGTAACAGCGGATAAGCGTGGAAGAGACAAGAACTTTCGAACGCGGTTCTTTGGAACTCACTAGCCGTTTTTCGTTCCGTACGGTCGGATCTTGAGTAACTTCCGTCTTTTCAACCAATGATCGCGGAAAAATCTTAATTAGCGCAAACGAATATCTATCGTAGTTAATCAAAGGCCCCTTCGACTGGTATCACAAATTGAGAGAAGAGCGTGTTGAATTAAAGTAGTTCTCATCGAGGACAATAAACCTTTTTCCTTATCTAATAAGAAAGATATATATACTATATGCACGTATAGACAGAGAAAGAGAGGATCGTTGTTCTTCTGGATTGACATCGATAGTTTTGATGGGTGAACGAATATCGCGCGTGATTGAAACAGGTGATCTACCGATCGTTCGCGATAAGATCACGTATTAGAAGGATAGAATTTTACACAGGTACCTTTGAGCATCGACAAGTGTTTCCACAAGGATGCGTTCTGATAACGCGTAAGAGTTTACGATCGCGTGGTAAGAGAAACGGCTTGGAAAGCGTTTGGAAGGTGCGCGTTCGTGGATGCACACGTCAAACTGCTCCGTATTCTTCGCTAGACGGTGATTCGTCGCTAGGAGGTGGCCTAGGTCTCGGTGGTCTAGGTGGTCTGTGAAGATGCACACCGGGTGCCGGTCTTCTCGGAGGTGGCGGTGGATGGTTTCCGTAGGAGGTGTCGTCTCCTTCTTCGCTGCTCGGCGACGGCGACGGTGCTCTGTCTTCTTGCTCTTGCAAAAGCTGGCGAAATTCTTGGATAGATTCGTTGAGAGACCAAAGTTGAGCGAGCAAAGAGAGATCCAGTTGTCTAAGTCCGAACTGCAAAGTAACATTCGTCGACGATTGAAAAAGGCAAATGGTATATAACGGAGTGGAAAGTGTTTAGAAGCGACAGAGAAATTGTTCGGTACGGTCAGCGACCGATGAACAAACGTCGCATAGTGCTCGTCGACCCGAACGAACGAACGAACGAACGAACGAACGAAACGCATTCACTTTTAGCCTGCGGTTGCCAAGGTAAGCGCCACACACATAATACAGAGAGTTGGAGGAGATTTACGAGAAGTGAAACGATGTGTTTCCAAGCGAGTAGCGACTCGCTGGCCGTGGGAATGAAGGAAGAGGGAGCGAGTTACGTAGAAGAGGCAAAATGAGAATGGAAATGAGAGGTGTCGGCGTACACCGAGAAGGAGGGTGCAGAAGAAGAGAGGAGGAGAGGAGAGACGAACGAGCAGAGGTAGGAAGGAACGAAGGTGAAAGAGAGCGGCCAGAAAAGGTGGCGAGAAGTGGAGGGAGAGTCACGCCTGAGGGAATGCAGCGTGGGAGCGGCTGTGCCAGTTCGCTTCGTGTCTGGATTGACTATTAAACTATTAAGCCTAACTTTCCAGCGAACTATGTTTCAGTAGACGCCGATCGATATTTATCGTATACATATGTATGTATATCGTAATTAGAAGCGAGATGCGCGATACAGATCCGATGGAATTTAGCTCTCTGCTGGCAACCTCCTATGTAAGAGTACAAAGGAAGAAACGATGCTGGATAAAAGAGAATAAAAAGTTGCACTGTACGAGATGGAGCTATGTCGTGTTTTTTCACATTGTCACAATTACAAAGCTCGAATGATGACCTTCCGCCGTTAGAAACGTTGCGTTGTGACGCGCAAATCCGCGTGTGGAATTTTCCTGTCGAATCGTAAACGGGTACAGTTGGTAGGGGCAAGGATGACTAAGAGAGCCTACCGAAGCATCTACTGCCTCTGCGATGACGCGGATTACATTTATATTCGATCGATATTTCGTAGGGTCGGGAGCGGTGTCGCGGGATAAACGAAATATCACCATTTCTCTCCTCAATATAGCCAGCTGAGTATCCAGCGTGGTGAGCTGTCTGGCAGGTGGTGATGGCCTCTGCATCGTAGTTTTACCGCCTCTGTGGGTTTTACTGGAAGATCTGGTGGGCGGTGGTGGTGGTTCGCAACCCTCGCAACGTCCACCGCTCAAATTGAATCCGCTGAGGCTTCTCGGTAAAGGTGGCAGTCCTTGCAGGGAAGACATAGCAATCCTCTCTTGTATGCTGAAAAAGGCGACAGTACACCGTTATGCAGTTAAACTCTTCTACTCTTCTTCTCTTCGTCGATCCTGACGAAGAAAAGAAAGCTCGGTTGTTTCGCGCGCGAACAACGGCAAAGTAGGTTAGCGGGTAAAGAAGCAAATTAGAAACGAGAAGATACCGATGATATTGCGCGCGGGGAGAAAAGAAAAGCGCAACGCGGAGCGCATCCGGTATCCTGTATTTCTGTGTGTTTGGTCACGCGATTAAATCGCGAGTGTTGTATCGACACTTGCCACCGATCTACCTCGGGACATTAGGATCGCCGACTTTCTCGTTCTCGCAACGATCGAGCCCCCCGTTGATCACTCGATCCTCCTCGAGAATGTTGTCGTCCTCGCCGGACAGCCTGATCTGCGTGGACGAATACCGAACACCGGCTTCCAACCAATCTTGTCGATGAATATTCTCGTTGTCGTTGTCGTTGTCGTTGTCGTTGTCTTTGTCCCTGTCCCTGTGGTCGTCTTGCTCGTTCGATCCTCCTTTACGGTCTGTTTCGTCCACAACCACCACCGTGGCACGGTCGACGCTCGAAACGGACTCGGCGGCGTCTTCTCTCGCGATTCTGTCCACCGCAGCGTTCACGGAGGATTCGGTAGTCGGCGAAGGTTCGTCGATATCGTCGTCGAGACGTTGGTTCGCGTCGATGCGTAGATCGTCGGCGAGGCTGGACAGGGCATGTTCGAGCACCGCGGTGGAATCCCCTTGGTGCGAAGTCGAACGTTGCTGTTGGTGGCGATGGTGCAGGTGGTGTAGAGACGCGGTGAAAGAAACGGCATCGCTCGATTCGCTGGAATTTGCCCGATGTTCCTGATCAGCCGCGGCACGGTGCCGCCTTTCCCGCGGATTTCCACGCCGATCGTGCTCGTCCGCCGCGCGCCTTTCACTCGCGCCGGCTCGAAGAGGAGCGGGCTCGAGGAGGCCGATTTCCTTCGGCGGTGGCACCGACTCCTTGATCGACTCGTAGACGACCGTTCTGCCAGGGGCCGGGCACACCTGTTCCCGATCCGATCTCCACGGTTTCGTGTTGGGCGGTGGCGGGGCCTGCCTGGTGGGACAGGGCGGCCTTGGAGATCTTTTAAGGGCCTCCGCGACCACCTGCCGACTCGGTCGCGGCGGTACCGGCGGTGGGTGAGGCCTCTGCGTCGCTGCCAGCTGCATTTTTTTCTCTTTCTCTCCTGTATATTTACACACCTACCTTCCGAGCATCCATCGATTTTAATCGACGTGACGCACCGTCTGAATCAACCTCTCGATTATCGCAACACCGCGCCGTGCCGTGCCGTGCCGTGCCGCGCCGCGCCGCATCTACAGCGATAAACCGAATACACGAGTGCACCTTCGTCGTCGTCGTTACTAATATATCACGGATTGAAACGAAGCGATTGCATCGTCGTTACGTCTATGCGTGGCGCGCGTGTGTACGTGTTCCACGCGCCTCGATCTTTGTCACGCGATTGCACCGAGTTTTACGTTCACGTTGAACGAGTACTTTTTCCACTGTGCGCACACGCACACACGCACAGGCACGCGCACCTTTGTCCCTACCGCCGTAGTAGACTATGTTTTCTTTTGCTCCGGTTCGAAAAGAGCAAGCACTGGAGGAAAAATTGCGCACTCGCGCACTCGCGCACCGACTCGTTGTATTATCGGTGGTAAACACGCGACGTTTCGAAAGACGTTGACGAACGGAGGGAAGAGCGAAACAACGTTGTTCGGTGGGTGGGCGAGGCGAGGCGAGGGACGGGACGAGAAGAGACGACGACACGTTAGACCGGCGAGGACTCGGTTGAAGAAACTCGGTCCGCTATCGTCTCTATCCTCTGCCCCCTGACCCCTTTCCCCTCGTTCGGTTCATCGTGTGGTCCACCGCGGCAGCGCGTCCTCCTCTCTCTCGCTCTCTCTCGCTCTCTTTCGCTCTCTTTCTCTCTCTGTTACCCGTTGAACGGACCGCCGCCAACTGACTTCGCGATCCCACAAACATCCTTCGCGTTCAACAGACCACGTGACTCGCTCTGGCTCCAGCTCTAGCCCGAGTTCTCGGGGCATCAGGTAGGCAGCAGGCAGTCGACGTGCTGCTACGTCCAGCCTTTACCCCTCCCTCGACTGCCGTCCTGTACGTGTGTTTGCAGCCAGGTATAGGACGCGCTGCGGAGGTATAGTCGCTCGAAGGAATGCAGCGGGATCGCGAGCACTTTCAACGCGGATCAAAGCAAAGTTGAAACGTTCGAACGGGTGCTTATCGAAACGTCGAAATAATTTCAGCCTGGGAACGCGGGCATTTGTGCTTGTAGGAATTGCGAACGACATCGAACACGATACGGTAATTCCTCGGTGAAGAGATTTACCGTACAGAAAGGAAGGTTAGGTAACCGGTGCGAACGTTCGAAGAGAGGTTCGAATCCATCGTTACTCGCAGCGAGTGCGCGCCTATGCGATGCGAGGAGAGGGAAATCACGGGGAGGGGAAGGGGGAGCGTTAAAAGCAGGACGAGAGTGTGTGTGTGTGTGCAGGCGCGCGATTACGCGTTCCTCGCAAGGGAGAGGATGGATAAGACGGGAACACAAGCGAATAGGGAGGAAAGGAGAGGCAAAGAAAGATACAGGAAGAATCTAGTGCAACGCACAAAGAGAGAGGGAGAGAGTGGATGAATGGGAACCGTTGGAGAGAATTCTCGTTACTGTTTCGTTAGAAATCCTCGATCGAGATGAATGCAGGGCACGGGAGAAAATAAGCACCGGAAAGATACGTCCTTGTGGTTGTTTCACGGTGATATCGCGTGAAATAAAATAACCGGCGGACTAGAGATGCGGAAGAAAGGAAAAGGCAACGAGTGCCGGCTGGTAAGAAGGAGAATTAAGTCTCTCCTCGGCTTGTTCCCTGCGAACTAGCTCGCCAGCTGACGATAGGGTGAACCAAAGACGCGCGTTTTCGAAAATTTCTTCCCTTCTTTAAACTTTCACGTGTTACGTTTACGTTGCATCGGTGTACCTGGTTCGAGACGCGTACGAATGTACGTTTAAATTTCGTTTACACTCTGTTTCTCGACAAGTAGACAAGAGCTACTTGTTCTACTTTCACCTTATTTCTTCCGCACGGGGTCCGAATCGACGCGTTTGCATTGTCGCGGTATACCGTTGAGGAAAAGGAATCGCTAATTCTTCGCGTCGGTCGCGTCGGAGTTGAGACCGAGAACCCAGCGATGTACGTAACGACGACACGTCGAGAAGAAACGAATGGACCGATAAATAGGTGAAGCTTTTGCGATTCGCAGCTGCATTCGATAACGAACCAAGGTTCCTGGTACGGTAAATTGGTTGAAAAGCTTGGCAAAAGCTTGGCAAAAAATTGCAGAAGCGTGAATCGAATGGCGTTAGATAACGCGGGATCGCGCGATCACCGCTCGTACAATACAGTTACGTAAGCGCGCGCTACGAGAATCACGTTGTCCCGCGTTCAAGTCGCACCGTTACCTTTGCTATTTACCGCATAAACTATATAGTATTGCGTTACGTTCCAATTAAATATCTCCTCGAATATCTTAGTTTTCTTCAATCGCTGACAAATTTGCCGAATCGTCGAGAGTTCGTGTACGCTCGTGGATACCGCTCGACGCTATCCCCCCCCCATCCTTTGTCGATCGTTTTCGCAGTCTGTTATATTCGTCGAGACGTATCGTCGAACTATGATCGATTAGTCGCAAAGTTTCGAGACACGCACCTCCTTTTAAACGAACTTTACGGAGTAAAACCGAAGTCGTAGTAGTGAGTCAAAGATGGATAACCGGTAGATCGTCGCAAAGAGGCTTAAACAAACGGAGAGCAATGTACGCAACGTGAAGTGCGAATTATCGACGCATTTCTGATCAACCGAGGCAATTTCACGTGAAACGAATTGTCCCGGTGCACGCACGACGGCGTGCATAGAGAGCGTTAATACCTGATTATTCGTTGTGTGCTGACACCTGCGGGACCATCGGGAAATCAACTACTCCTTGAACTTCCATTCTTGACGACACATCGGACACAGGTGACTGGTTTGCTGGGAATGCAGCCACTTCATGATGCAGTGTATGTGGAAGCAATGCGAACATTGGCCCCAGACTGGAACATCATCGATACGTGTATTACGAATGATACGTTCCTTCCTCGGTTAACCGACTAGACACGCGCACACCTTGTTCTGTAGTTAACGACCGTTCACCGGAGACACTTTGTTGCGTTTACGTTGACACGCACGAGTACGCGCGCGTCGGAACGTGGGATGTCGTTTTGTACGGAGTGCGAGGGATCCGTTCGTTTCGTTCGGCACAACGATCGATATTCGCGTTTGTAGCTGCGCAGACGCCGTCGCGGTATTTTACAAGCGCGGCATTTCTTCCTGCTTTGTCGAATACGCGCCACAAATTATACGCTAGTTCCTGCAGTTTTATCTTATTCCTAAGATATCTCTACTCCGTTCTTGCTACTAATTTCAAGTTTCAAACTTTGGAAAAACGAAGACGACGATACGACAAGCTGACTACGATCGTTAACTGCGACGTTTCGTTGTCGCGTTCTTCTTCCCTTTTCGAGTCGTAAATCTTGTACATTTTATCGAGCAAGCTTCCCGAATCGAGATGTCAAACTGACTTTACCTAAGGGACAATCGTCTCCAGGAATTTTGCAGTCTGGACAACTTGCGTCGAAAGGCATCCTACATATTCCGCAATTGTCGTCGTTCGCTATCCACCGCCAGGTGGCAACACCAGTCCATCCTATAAAAAAGTACTTAGGACAATTGTTTATCTTTATACGTTACGATTCGTGACTCAAACGTACGTATGTATGTATTATGGCGAAATGTAACTGAAAAGTTTAGATATCGGGGCCGTATGATACCACAGAATTCCTGCTTGTTAATTCGCGCGTGTTATTCTCCGGTAGAAAGATGAACGAAATACGTGTGAAAGGATAGTTGACAATACCGGTTTAACTACTCACTTTTTATCGTGATTTTCATTTTTCGATGCGTAGAAAGAGAAATCAAATAGATTA